GGTCGGTGACATTGATTCTAGGAAATCTACTTCGAGTTATTTGTTGACTTTTGTAGGGGGAGCGGTGACATGGCAATCTAAATTACAAAAATGTGTTGCTTTCTCAACTACCGAAGCTGAATTTATTGCCATTTCGGAAGCTTGCAAGGAAGAGTTATGGTTAAAGAAATTTTTGCAAGAGTTGAGTTTGAAGCAAGAAAGGTATGTGTTTTATTGTGATAGTCAAAGTGCTATTCATTTGAGTAAAAACTCTACTTTTCATTCGAGATCAAAACACATTGATGTGAGATACCATTGGATTCGTGATGTTTTAGATTCAAAATTGTTGCAACTCGAAAAGGTTCACACAGATGATAATATTTCTGATATGTTAACTAAGACTTTGTTGAGGGACAAACATTTGAAGTGTTGAACTTTGGCGGGTATGGTCGATGTCTCCACCTAAGTTGGTAGGGGGAGAATTGTTGGGTATACCTTTTTAGTGGAGTACAGGACCCAATTGGTTTATTATTAATATTTAATTTGGTTTAATGTTGGTTGTAGTATTTTTTAATATATTATATCTAACTTTTGGAGGCCCAATGTGTATTAATAATCAGTTTGGTGGCAGCTAGGGTTTTGATAAAAAGCCCAAGAGTCTACACTATATGTATATATATATATATGTTGTTTATGTGTTCTGGAGGCGTGCTGCTGCTACAAAATTGATTCAATTTGGTGGGTTTGGCATTGTGTGGCAGCATAGTGCTTGGTGTAAAAGATTCAATTCGTGAGAAGTGTTGCTGGGTATTTGACTTGGTTAAATTCAAGAATTTGCGCCTTGGTTGCTGCTCTGCTTTGAAGCGTTTGGTTCAATTTTCAGTTTCGATTTGAACATATTATTTTGGGTCTTCTACAACTCTGTTTTGAAGACTTTTGTTCGTCTATTTGGTGAGGTCTTTCCTCTTGTTTATTTGTGATTATTTGGAATTCACCTAAGGGTGGTTTGTGAGACTATTTGTGTCTCGTTTGTAATCGTTTGGAAACTTTTTGGTTGATAGTGGAATTGAATTTCGATCCCGTAGACGTACCTCACATCGAGGGAACCACGTAAAATTTTTGTGTCGTTAGTGATTTAATTTTTCCGCATTAGTTTTTATTCCCATTGATTGGTTTACTTGTGGGAAATCATCTATTTTTCTCAATATTTTGGTCAATTTGGAGGTTGAGAAATCAATGTCTTTCGACAATTTACAACCCAAGTGGGATGAGATGCTGGATTTAATCAAGCATCAAATTCTATTTTGGGCTTGTTTGAAACCGAAGTTAAGAGGGTTTTTTGTTAACCAGTTGATGTATTGCCAAACAGGTGTGTCAATGTGCTTGTAGGTGGTATCCAACACTTGAAGATACATAGGAGTATGTAGCAGACTTGTAGGTTGGGTTTTCTTCTTCTAAATTGTGAAGCTGTTGGCACTGTGCAGGGGAGAAGCAGAGGAGGCCCATTGGTCTTAGTTTTATGGTAGTGAGATTGGCTGGTTTAATGTTTAGGTTGGTGCAGCTATGGGTTGATGGGACTAGGCTATGTCCTTGAAAGGCTACAGTTGCATCTGGTTTGGACATATGGCTGTTTTGCTCTGATCATTAGTGATCTTTGCTAGTTTGTGAGGTTTGTTGTTTGTTAACTATTGGGGGTGTATTTTGTTTTGATTTTTTCTCTGTTGATTCCTCACCAACGTTCTTGGCTTGAGCTTTCAAATGATTGGGTGTTCTCCTTGGTATCAACCTAATTGGAATTAGGAAGTTATGCTATGATGGATTTTGCTCATCTCTCATTTGTTGATGTAATGCCACATACTATATATTTTTCATCAATAAAGTTTTCTTCTTTTGTTGATCAAAAAAATTACATGATTTATTCAGGCAACAGTAACATTTTGGGAAAATTATACTTTGTTCCCTTTATGTTTAGATATTGTCTTACTTTGGCTTTTAAAATTTATTTTTTTTCTACTCTCACCTTCATGTTTTAAGTTTTTCACAGTTTACTCTTAAAATTAATTTTTGTTTAATATAAGAATATCAACTTCTCTTTGATAAAATTAAAAATCAATTGAAACTAATGCAAATGATTTGTAAACACATGAATAAATTAGGTAGAATATACATTTTAGTGTATCCATACGACTCATGAATGAAAAAGAGGATTAAGTGTTATGTGAATTAAAACTTTGACGGGCTTAATGTAATTATGTTAAACTTGTGAACCTGATATATGTTGTTCAAATCTTAAGAGAGATTAGTGTAATTTATCCTAAACATTCTTATGAAAAGTTTTACATGTAAAATAGCATAAACTCTCTCTCTCTCTCTCTCTCTCTCTCTAAAACTTTGAGAACTCTCTCCAAACTTTTCTCCTCCTAGGGTTTCTATTGTGAGTAGTAGCCGAGGTTGGAGAGGGGGGTTCTGACGGCTGACGACCTCTTCTTCCCTTCTTCTATCCCTCTTTCTCTTCATTTTCCTTGTTTTTCTGCTCAATAATTTGGAAGGTTTTGGCTTTCCACTATTCTCCCTCATTCTATGAGGTGTTTCTCTCCATTCGCCGTAACTTTGATCATTGCCTTTACCGGATCCGCTGTTTCTCTCATTCTTTGCCCCACTCCGACATTGCCACTAAGTCATCACCTCCTGTTTAGCCACCATTAACCTGATCTGCCGCATTCCACCTCTTCTTTGTCGGATCTACCACCTCCTATCACCTAGATCCACCGCCACCATTGCCTGGACATTATGGGTTTGAAGGTTTATGTTTTGTTTTCTATTTTTTGGTGTGTTCATAGCTTACCCACAAAGATGGATGTGACCCATGTATTTATCTCATACTTATTCTATTGTTAAACTTTTATGATTGACTTTTGCTTGCCAGTATAAATGTTATATCTTGATATATACATAGCTTCTCTTTAGTGCTTCATTTGGGAATTTTTCCTTTGTTTTGAACAAGATTTTTTCCTCAGTTCAGTGTAAGTTTCTTGTTGATTTCCTTGTAAGTGTCGTTTGGCTAACTTTACTTTTAATGAAAATTACTATTGATAGAAAAATAATAAAAAAATAAAAAAGAGCATAAATTACTATTTTCACTATCCAAGTTTTACTTGAATTTCATTATAATTTCTCAATTTTTAATTGTAACAGCTAAGTCCTTAAACTTCAAGTTTAGTTTTAATATAATCCTCTCATCACTCTATAGGTCAAAAGTGATCAAAATAAAAATGGAATGAAAATTAGAAGGTGAAAAGTGTAATTTTCTTGTAGTAATATTTTTCCTCTAATGTTGCTAAAATGTGCTCATGTGATGCTTATGTGAATAGTGAGCACTTTCCGTCTGAAAATTCTATTTCCACACACTACATTGTCTCTGTGCACATCTTTTCTCACTCCACTCAGTTAGTAATTTGATTCTTAGGCATTCATCTCAATCCACACACTCTATATTCTAAATATACCCATTTAATAAAAAATGTGTGCACACCCTCATATTAGCCCACACAAATATTCGTGGTCGTCGTGCTGCGTCGGCAGGGCCTACCATGATTGATGACTCTGTATCTGATTTGTTGTAAATTAACTAGTGTAGTCCAATACACAATCAGATTGAACCTCACTTGCTTGAGTGGATACTTTCTGCACAAAATAAATAAATAAATAAATAAATAAAAAAAATTCAGAGCCGAATATTTAACATATTTCGGAAGTTGGAATTCGAATTATTTAATATATTTCAAAAGTTAAGTTCCGAATGGCACTACAACAAGTTGGGTCTTAAATGACAAAATTTTTTTGTCTCAAAAGAGCTAATTTCATCACTATAGATATTTGTGAGGAAATATTTTCGTCACCAATTTCGTTATTGAACGTTTGTCACTAAAAACCATCGTGACGAAAAATAATTCCGTCACCAATGAAATTACTTCAGTGACGAAATTTTTTGTCACCAATAAAACAAAATTTTGTCACAAAAAATTCTCATTTTCGTCACGAAATAATTATTCAATACCTTATTTATAATTTTAGTTGACGAATAAATTTGTCACAAATGTTGATCATTGATGAGGAAATAATTTTGTCACAGTAAGATGTAAAGGTGACGAAATGTTTCGTCTCCAAAAGTCATACATGGGTGACGAAATATATTTCGTCGCAAATATATATATATATATACATGACGAAATATATTTTGTCACCAAACAACAAAATCAATGAAAACTTTCATATATAAGCTACAATAAATTTTGTCACAAAAAATGTTTGTTAATGACGAATAATCACTTTGTCATAATAACAGGTACAAATGACGAAACAAATTTGTCACTAAACTTCCATATTTTATATTTCAATTTCAATTATTATTTCACACATATCCCTACTCATATCCCAATAGCCTTTTAATTAATCCACTAGCTATTAGACATCACTCCACAAAAACATTCACTAAATAATTTATATTATAAATCAAAATATATCCATCAAACAATTTTAATAATATAAACCATGGTTTAATATATTTCGGGAGCTGAGTTTCGAATTATATTTTGGAAGTTGAGTTCTAAAGAAATTAATTTTGTTCGATTGTTGTTTTTCATATATTATCTATGTATTCGGCACTGATTTGCCAAATGATGATCGCGAACAGAAATTATATAAAATAATTTCTTAGCAAAAAAAGTTACATTCTTGTCGCTGCATTAATTGTTTTGCATATCCTCCTTGTTTTTCTGAATTGTTTGGCAAATCTTCCATCAAGTTTTATTTGACAAACAATGGTAACCTAATGAGTGAACAATAGAAGAATGTTAGCAATGGAGTCTAGTGTGTGAGAAATAATGGAGGAAGAAGGTCGGTAATAAAATGTGAGAGAGAGTGAAGGAAGAAGGTAGCAATAGAGAGTGTGAAAAAGAGTGAAGTGTGTGAGAATGAGTGTCAATAACGTATGCAATGGACAGTGGATGTGCACAAAGAACTTTTATAAGAAAAAGATGTGCACAGAGATTTCTATTTTGGATGTTTAAGTGTGTGGATGGATGTCTATTTTGATCATTTTATTTAAAGGTAAATTTGTAATAAAAATAAAATTCATTAAGTGTGTAGACAGAGACAATGCGGTGTACGAAAATAGAATTTCCCCTCTCCGTCCAAATTCTTAACACTGAGTGACAAAAACAGGACTTTCTTCTCTCTCTCCTCCGCCACTGTCGCAGGTCCTCCTTTGTCGCTGCTGCTTATCCGTTGCTGCTCCGCCGCGAGATCTAGATCTGTAGCTTCTCTCTCTCTCTCTCTCTCTCTCCTCACCTCTGTTACCGCCGAATCATTACCGTTGTTCCTCTCGTCTTTCTCTATCTCTTCTTTTTCACTTTCTCCTCACTCACTCACATCTCATATCGATTTCTCTCCACCTCCTACGTCAATCTCTGTCGTCCTCCCTCTTCCTCATCCTCATCCTTCTTCTTCTTCGCCGCTGCCTCTCTCTCATTGACAATTGAATAGCGCCAATTTGCTTTCGGTACCGCTGCCAGAGCCATCAGTCGTTCATGGCGACCGACAGTTGAGGTAATCTCATTCATTCTCTAGTCTCTGATTTCACTCTCTCTACTTTTGCCATAATTTCTTTTGTTTTCTCGATTCTAATCGTATCTAATTATCACGACTTGCAATTGATGAGATTGAATCGTTCTTTTGTTTCTTGAAATTGAATTTATGCATCGATTTCTTATTTTAGATATATACATATACTTGTCAAACACATATTTCTTTGTATTTTGAATCGTTTAGTCGATTCAGCTAGGTTTTGTATTGAATTGTTCAGTAGATTCAACATTTAATATTTAGTTCATTGTTTTGTTTCTTTTAGGGCAGATTGGGAAAAGAAGCTAACTTATTGGTAGATGAATTTATATCAACACTGCAACATTATTGGTTGGGTTCTAAGCTCCTATAGCATGACGAGAGGATCAGTTCAAGGTTGTTGCTTGAACTTGCTGGTGGGAAGAGTCTTACAGATGATATTTTTAGACTAGTTTTATTTGTTGTTTTTATCATTGTTCCATTTGCTGATTTGTTAAGATTGGACCTCTCTCACTCCCCTCTCTCTATGTATATCTGTGTATGTATGACAGATAATACCATTCAGATTTGTTCAAAATGGCTCAGATTTGTTTAAAATGACACAAATATTTCAATAAATAGTGTTTTTAACGGACAGATTATATATAGATATATAAAATTAGATTCACCATTGTTGTATTGAACAGATAAAAAATTAAATTCAAATTTTGTTTTTGTTAAAATTTGACAAACTGTGTTTTCCACCTCTTCTTATATGTGTGTATGTATGAGAATTTGAACTGATAAATAGAAAGATAGAACAAATTGAACAAATAAATTGTTTGAACAGAGAAAAATTTGAATAGATAGAAAAATAATTTGAGAATATAAAAATTTTAAACAGACAGGGAAAATTTTTAAACAGATAGTCAGCAAAAGTCAATAGATAAATTAAGTGGTAAAATTAAAAACAAAATGTCTTTCAAAACAAGTAAAAAGACCTTTCACCAAACTATTTTACAAATGGTGGATTTCTCACCAATAAAAAAATTACACTGGACCTAATGTCTTAGATACCCTCTAAATTGGATTTATCATCAATTTTCTCTATGTAATATGTGTATAATATATTGTTGAATTTTTATAAAATATATACAATATATTATTGTGTTTATATTATGTTATATATATAATATAGTTTAATATATGTACCATATATAATATATATTTTTTTAATTACAAATACATTTTTCTAATTTTAATTATTGAGTTTTAATGTTATTGTTAAATTTTTGATCGTGTTGTAGATCAGATAGGATTGGAAGTCAGGATTACGTTTGTGGATTTGGGTTTGAATAGTGTGGGAGAGAGTTTCATGAGGGTCAAGTTGGAGGTAGGGGTAAGCTGTGGAAATGAGGGTGGTAGTGGGGCAAGGGACTTCGATCCATACCCTAACCGTTGCCATCCCTGAATATATATTTCTTTCTAAGGCTTAAATTAAAATGTTTGTCAAAAATTAAATTTATTTTACCATTTAATTTTGTTAACGTTTCAAATTTAATTAATAAATAAAATAATTTGAATAATTTAAAATTAATTAAAGATGAAAATAAAAAAATAAAAAATAATAGTTCATATTTATTAGGTTAAGTGGGCAGTTTGGGATTTATATTTTTTTAGGTTTGGATTTAGAATGACTAGATTAGGTTTGATGTCAGGCCAAACTTGAGATGACACATATTTTTTTACTATATAATGTAAGCTCGGCTTGAACTTGGCCTGACCTGAAATTTGTTCACCTCTAATCATAATTAACATTCCAATAAATCATAATTAAATACTACAAATATTGTAACTAGGTGTGGGGATATATTTTCTGAGTACCAACACGTGGCATGGTGATGCCAAGGTGTTAGCCGAGGTGCCACGTGTCATGGTAGTTATGCCGAGGTTATTTTGGCGAGGCCGAGGTGATCTCCAAAGATATCGGAATCCGAGATAAGCGGATAAGGGACAAGAGTCCTAGAGTAAAGAGAAGACTTAGCCAAGATAAGGATCTTTATCTCTTGAAGAGTCCAAGTCAGTATTAAATTGGAGTCCATAGAAGTCAGACTTCTAGCGGGACTTGGATTGAGTAAACTATAAAAGAGAGGCACCCCCGTGGGTCTAAGGTACACAGTTTTATACTCAAGCTTGTGAGTTTAGCACTTGATTATCTTTGAGAGATATACTGACTTGATCGTCGGAGTGCCCCCGGGTGGAAGAACCACCGCCGGAGCCTTTTCTTTCTGTTACAGGTTAGCTAAAGCCATCTATTCTGCCAGTGTTCTACAGCTGAATTACTAAGCGGGCAGTGTGGTCAGAAAATTACCCACACAATTTGGCGCCGTCTGTGGGAAACTTAGAAGAATAGATGGCCAGTAACGGACAGAGGGAAAACATTGGGGGTGACACTCCTACTGGAAGTGGCAGACCAATTGACCTTGACGTTGAAGGAGAGAACCACAATACAGAAAATCATGACCAGGGCCACGGAGAGAGAGACGTTGGCCAGGAGGGCGACGCTTCAAAGAGGACAGACCAAAGCAAGTATTATAACGAAGATAACCTTCAGGTATGGAGGGATAGGTGCCTACGGAGGGATGATGAAGTAAAAGACTTGGCAAACAAGTTGGCAGACCTACAGTCAGTGGTCAACTTCATGATGCAAAACAATGTCATGCAGCCATCATACCCGTTGCAGGATACGCCAATGCCAGCAACTAACACCCAAAAAGGAGGAAGAAGAACAATCCCCGAAGTCCCTCAGCACACCAGGAGCGGAAGGCACTCTCACCGACCTTCCGGGGAAGGCGGACGAGAGGAGCCGAGACGAGAGCAGTCCCAAAGAACGTATCACACGAAGGATCCAAAGCCCAAAGAACATCGGCATGTTTAAGGACAGGCGCTTTGCTTTGACACAACACATGGAGAGAGATCAAAACGAGCCCACCATGAGGCCGAAAGTAGTGTGCCGAAGAGATTGAAATCCAAAGATAGCCGAGCTCCAGGAAGGAGTAAAGAAGACTTGAGAGATTACCTCAAGAGGAGGCAACAGAATGCTGAAGCCGAGGTAACTTCCCTGGTTAAGCCGAGGACACCATTCTCGGTGGAACTGGACAAATTTCAAGCACCAAAGCGATTCAGTATGCCGAAGTTCTAAATATATGATGGTAAGACAGATCCCAACTTCCACGTCAGGCTATACCTGAATTTGATGGCATTATATAGTGGGAACGAACCGTTGCTCTGCAAAGTATTCCCCTTGTCCTTTGGAGAAATTGCATCCGATTGGTTCCATAAACTACCGAAGGGAAGCGTAAAGACGTGTGAAGGCTTGGCCGAGATGTTTGTGGCCAGGTTTGTGACGAACAAACTACAGCCCTTGAGGGTCGACGCCCTGATGGCTTTAAGAATCACCAAGGAAGAAGGCCTTAGGGCCTACGCGAAGAGGTACTACGAGGTGTTCAATCGAATACCCGAATGCAACCAAGAAGTGGCGGTCGTGTCTTTCAAGAACGGCCTGAAAGATGACTGCCCACTACGGAAGTCTTTGGCAAAAACATTGCCAAAAAGCATGGAAGAACTCATGGCAAGAATAGAGAAGTACGCCAGAGCCGAGGAGGATACGTCGGGAAATAAAGAAACAATGAGGCAACAATGGACCAACCAAACAAGAAACGGAATTGAGGGGTAAACAAGCAGTAACAACTATATTCCGAGTCCCGATCCGCAAAGTCTTGGATCAAATACAAAATCAACCCTATTTTAGAGCTCCAGCAAGAGCACCAGGGGAATTCACGGGAAGAAACGTTGGTAGGCGTTGTGCTTACCACAACGAAGAAGGGCACCCAACTCAGGGTTGCAGAGCCCTAAAAGTACACTTAGAAGACTTGGTAAGGCAAAGCCATCTGAGAGACCTTGTTGATGAGGCCAGGACAAGAGAAAAACAGGCAAGATTGCCTCAAGCACCAGCAGTTCCGCCTCCCCCAGCACAGCAACCACAGGTAGGAGGACCACGGGTGGTTAATGTAATTCACTCAAAGGTAAACGAAAGCGACATTCGGGGAGAAACCCAAAGAGTAAAACACCTGCAGCACGTGAACCAGGTCGGACATAAAAGACCTCGGCCTGAAGAGTGCCGAGGACTGATGATAGCCTTCACTGAAGCTGACCTAGAGACGGTCTAGCATCCGCACAACGATGCCTTGGTAGTATCCCTCCAGGTTGGGGAGTGCCAAGTGAAGCGCATCCTGATTGATCAAGGCAGCTCTTGCGACATCATGTATGTCAGATGTTACAAGGAGCTGGGCCTTCATCCTAACGACCTGGAACAATCCAGCAACCCGATGGTCGGCTTCAATGGAACGCCGACGTGGCCACTGGGCGCAGCAAGCATGGAAGTACAAGCTGGTACTAAGAAGATTAAGACAGAATTTATGGTGATTGACACACCCTCGCCATATAACATCATCTTGGGAAGGCCATGGTTGCATGCAATGGGGGCAGTTCCCTCAACGTTGTATCAACTACTGCGGTTCCCAACAGAGCATGGGATTGAAGAAATCAGAGGAGATCAACTGCAGGCACAAAATTGCTCCATGGCAGCAATGAAGTCTACCTGCTGCGTACGAGAGCCAAAGAAGGCAGAAATTGAAGATGAGGACGTGGAAGTCCTAGAAGACGTCGGCAAAGAACCAACCGAGAAGAACGAAGAGGCGCTAAAGAAAATCCTCGTCCAGGATGTGGATGAAGAACACTTTTTTCTTCTCGGTTCAAGCTTAGCCGAAGAAGAGGAGAACGAGTTGGAAACTTTTCTAAGAGCCAACATTGAGGTGTTCGCCTGGACATCTTACGAAATGCCTAGCATTGACCCCGAGGTCACTTGCCACAGACTGAATGTCGACAGGTCAGCAAAACCTGTGATTCAACGAGCCAGAAGACCGACGTTGATGCACGTCGAAGCAGTAGAAGAAGAAGTAGACAGACTTCTGGAGGCCAGGGCCATCCGAGAAGTTCACTACCCGACATGGCTGTCCAACACAGTAGTGGTAAAGAAGAAGAACGACAAATGAAGGGTCTGTGTAGACTTTACCAGCCTCAACAAAGCCAGCCCCAAAGACAGCTTTCCTCTGCCCAAGATTGACCAGCTAGTAGATGCTACTTCAGGGCATGAAAGGATGAGTTTTCTGGATGCATACAGGGGGTACCACTAGATTGCCATGTACCCTCCAGACGAGGAGAAGACCGCGTTCATCACCCCTAAAGGCCTGTACTGTTACAAGGTAATGCCTTTTGGGTTGAAAAACGCAGGAGCAACTTACCAAAGGTTAGTGACAAAGATGTTCAAGACCTGATTGGCAAAACGGTAGAAAGTCTACATCGATGACATGGTCGTGAAGACAAAGGAATGCTAAGGGGTCATCTTGCCGACCTAAAAGAGGTCTTTGATTACTCAAAACATACCGGCTCCGACTCAACGCATCAAGTGCGTGTTTGGAGTTGGATCAGGTAATTCTTAGGGTATTTGGACAAGAAAGGGCATTGAGGCCAGCCCAGACCAAATCAAGGCCATCCCAGAGCTGAAGAGCCGACGTCGGCAAAACAGGTTCAGATGCTTACTGG